GCAGCGCCCTCGCAACCTCGAGGTCGCTTCGAGTGATGCGGCGGTGTCAAACGCAGGACACTCTCAGGAGTGTGTCGACCTCCTGCCGCATGGGAACCGACCGAGAAACAGACGCACAGACCGAGCGACTGAGCTAGAGACCAAGTGTCTGTAGGAAGTTTTGCCAAACATCGACCGACTCTTAGCGGCCCGACGGACGGAGCGATCGACTGAGCGAGCGACCGACCGACCGACGCAGACAGGGAGGACGAGTCCCACACGGGGGTAGTTTCCCTAATCCTAGTATTGTCATAGAGGTGAACACCAATTCAGAGGATTTCCATGGCTTGCTGCTGGTCGCTGCTTCCATCGCTGATGTTGCCTTGGGTGCTGGTCGGGTGGCATAAGCGAGTCACAGACATTCGATACTCGAGGACGACCGCAATTGTTGTACGATTCAGAGCAAAGCAGTTTTAAACAATCGCTCTTCAAATTGGCTCAAGCCGCGAATCTCTGAGAGTCCTCCCCAATGGAGCTCGAGCTCATTCTTTTTTTTTTTCACAAATCCATCTCAATGGTCGGGTTCGCTGCCCGGGTCTTACTCCTCGGAATCCTGGAGTTCCCATCCGATATTCCTCAGGAAGGAATCCTGAGTAGGGGGAATGACCAAATGTCCATTGTGATTGTCTTACGAATTTCACGTAGCTCTTTGATTCCCGAACGCAGCTCCTCATCGGGAGGAGCAAAAGAAAAAAGAGACGAACACCATTATCCGAGTGTACTGAGTGTTTCAATCCGGGACGTGTGTCCGCGCTACGCACGAGCACTCGGTTCGACGATAGTTGTCGCAACGAGAGCCACGATTGTCGCGAGTCTTCTGACGAGTTCATCCAGAAGGCCAGCAGAAATGAAGCCGCTGTTTGACACAGCGTGAGCTCTTCTCCCTAAGTGTTCCCCGACAGGGGTGACAGCGGCTTTGAAAGCAGAATGGTAATTATGGCTGGTGGGAGAGATGTCAAAAAACGGCTTAGAAACATCCTCTGTCTGTTTCGAGGTGGGCATGTTCGTGTGCCTGTCTCGCTGCTGCTTCTCCTCCTCCTCCCTCCTCCTGCTCACCCGCAAGCAGGCTCTCGTTCGGTGTCTATCGCTCGCTTTGTATGCTCGTGCCAGTTACGGGAGCTCGTCATCCCCCACAGCTGCTGTGTACCGATTATCCCAGCAAGACAGACTGCTGCTGGTACCTACCAACCGAACGGGCGGGCAGTCGGACGGACGGACGAACTGGCAGGGCAGGCAGTCGCCCGGTAATCCCTCACGTGCTCAATACAGACATCCCACGCGGGAAGACAATCCTCACAAGACAGACGCTTGTATTTGGTCTCGGTCACTTTCTTCAGTCCCCTCCCCCCTCTTTCCACCGACATCGTTTATTCCCGAGTTCTCATTCTCCTCGGCAAACGTACATACGACCCGGCGGAGCGTCATTTGCGGAAAACTTGTCCCTTGGGCCCATGCACCTCTTAGATTCTCTCCAACGAGCTGGCTCCCGTCCTCGGATCATCTGAGACAAACCGCAAAAGTTACGCCGGGTTCAGGTGCTAAGCCTGTGAGCTTGCAAACGACCTTATCCGAGCAGCTATTGTGACAAAGTGCAAAAGGTCTATTGTCCTACCCTGGCCTTCAATTGGCAGGAGCAGAAGACGCTTCGGGTCGAACACGAGATAAGCGCATACATGGGAGGGAGGAGGAGAAATGCCGATGCCACTGATGATGAGCAAAAGAAGAGTCTCCAATGTCAGTGGGTTCCGGTGTCTTCACAACCGCGCGGTAATTGTTATCGGATATGAGTCTCAAGCGACCAACGAAGCGACCAAGGGAGCAAGCGGAGACGCTGATGGTGTTGGTATAGTAATGGCAACATGACACCTTCGGAAACAAAACTCCGCTCCCATGGACCGAGGGCCGAAACCTCCCCCACCTCGGATGCTCGAGCCGTCCTCCTCGTTTTCATTCAATTGGATTCAAGGTGACATCCTATCTCGCTGTGCGGAGCGGCTCTGCATCGGGAATATCTCGCTTTGGACTCCATTCGAGCTCGAGAGCTCCGGCCGAGACGTCACCGGACCGAACGAGTCTCGGTGGAGGAAAATCGATTCTGATAGCGTGTTGACTCGCTAGATTTCTTGATCCCTCAGATTCCCCGGGAATCCAGTCGAGTCGAAACTTCCAAAACGATTATTCCACTCTAGCTTTTATCGGAATTTCCCGAACCCGACCAGTAGGATGTGTGTCCGCTGCGATAGCAAATATTTCATGAGGCTGCTCGCAGCTGCACGTGTCTGAGCAGTTTCCGCAAATTCGAATCGGGACATTGAGTTTCATAATAATCTCTTCCGTCGGGGTGAAGACTCCTCACGGGGAGCGGCAGGGTAACGGATCAGCGGCACGAAACTCTCCGTGAATCGTCTTGGAAAGATTTCTGTGAGGTAATTCCCGCTGCCATTCCGTCGAATTCACCGTCTCAATGGGTGTCCGTGTGTTTGCGTTCCCTTCTATCTCTGCTCCGAGAACGCCGGGGATTTAATTCGTCCGCTCGTTCGTTCGCTCGCTCATTCAGGGAGTTCAGTCCCACTGTTGACGGTGCCTTATGGCCGCCAGGCAGGCTGGCTGACGACTGTTGCCGTCACTGGATCTCCCGCTCACGACAGTACGGTTCGTTGTTTTTAATGCGTTCATTACTGCGGTGTCCTGTTGCTGTGATGTTGTAGTCGACGGCACTGCCACTGGCGACGGCGAGCGCCGAAGCTCAAAACGACGTTGTGTTTAATTGCGCGTAGATGTCCGATCCGGATTCCCCGTGAACCAGAATTCTTCGTTCGTTTTATGACGGGCAGCTTGAATTGAAGACAAAAAAAGTAGCGAGCTGCGTCACCATAGGCCACAAGAATATTTCGGAGAGTATCCGTCTGCCTCCGAAAGCCTTTGCCACTCTGTCTCTTCCGAGCTTGAGAAACTGCGTCGGAGAGGATTATCTTCCCTTTTGACGCTCCATAGATATTGAGTATTCTCAAGTAGAATCTTGAGCTGTACTCTGGAAAGTTTCAAGTGGTCCGAGCGGAAGAAACGGCGAATGTTCGCCAAACTCGTCGGAAACCCGTATCTGATGTAGTGCGGCATTTTGATAACAATAATAATACTCGAGGGAAGGAAGAGTATCTGCGAGCCGATTCGCACAGAATTCGATGGACATCGAGGTTTCGACGCCTATTGATTCTACAATTTCGACATCTGTCTCCACCGTGAGGGACAGAAGTGTACGGAACTTCAGCGAGGCTCATATGCGCTTCCGAACTGGCTCCGTGGAGAATCCCGCCAGCTTGAAAATCCGCCGCGCGAGGGGCTTGAGAGTTTTTGTTTTCGACCGAATAACGTCTGGAGGGAAACTGTGAAACGCGGCGCTGACATGACCGGTAACTCACCGTCGCCTGAACGCGCGAACAGAGGAGAGAACAGACAATCAGGGAAGTAGCAACGCCATGATCCCGCATCTGTCTCTTTTTCTCTTTGGCTGCCATTAAATTAATTGTAGCATTCACGAGTTTTTCGCGCTGTATCAGAGGCGGTCATAACGTACAGGAAACCGGGTGAGGCTCAACTGTCATCGGGCGAGGTGTCATCGTCGACAAGCAGTTTCCGACAGTTCTGACTGTAGCAGCCCATTCCGCCACAGGACCTCAGTCGTTCCCGTTCGGTCGGGAGACGAAACCCCGAGAGTTGAGGTCAAGAAGAAAATTCTCCCGAGTCCGATGCGTATATGATGATTCAATGCTGCCGGGGGGTCCGAGAAGGAATCCATAAATTCCCTTCAAACTCTGAAATGTGCTTCACGTACCTGATCAGGCGTCGAATTAGAATCGGTGCTGTTGTGTCCAGTGGTGTCGGGCCGGCTTCCTCCACCGTGAGGAGTGTGGTGTCCTCCGTGACCCCCGTGACCTCCGTGACTCCCATGATGACCCCCACCGCCCATGCTTCCGCCGTTTGAGCCGCTGCCGCTGTTGTGGTTGTTGTCTCCCAAATCGCCGGGGCCGCTGTCTCTTTCGTCGATGACGAGATCGATCGGCATCTTGCCCTTGAGACAGCTGATATAACGCTGACAGAAATTGTCGCACAACTCGTGGACCTTTTCCAGTTCCAGCAGGTGGAACCTTAAAACCTGGATAGCCTGAACCATGAGACTGTCGAGTTCCTGGTTAGGCGTGTAATATGGTTTCTCTTGTCGGATCTGCTTAGCGAAGACCGCAATGTCTTCATTAAATGACTCTGAGGAGCATACGTCGCTCGCTCCGGGCTCACGCGGCGTACTTGTGGCCAGTTCACACTTCTCGAAGATCAACGCCAATAGAGGGAACAAGGGGTGCCTGGAAACGGAGAGAAAAATCAAATTAATTCCGAGTGACGAAAATCTCCGGAGGCGAACTGTTTTCTTGCGGTGCAAGAGGATATTGGATGGCGCTTTTCGACGTTCAGAGCCTAAACGATGTCTGAAGTGTTGAGTTGCACTTCAGCTCTGGTTTGAGCCGGTTTAACGCGTCAATGGTTCTTGACTCTGTCTTGCGCATGATTTAGCTCGGCTGACATTCTCGCAGCACAGAGCGACCTCATAAGTGAGTAAGCTGCGACGCCGCTCGGACTTCGATGACGACGACGACAACATCGACCAAGCTCGGAGCAGTTGAATTTGTCAGCTCATTGAATCCGGTTCGCTTTGTGCCATTATCTAGGGATTAGGACCCGCACCTAAGCAGCAGGAGAGTGAACTGGCTTCTCTCTCACCGACATCAGCAGTAGCTGCCTTACTCGCGAGGATAGTCAGAGAGAGGATGAGAGAAATATGGGGTCGAGCCCGATGGAATCAGAGCAGTTTTCACACTTGGACAAAAACGAAGCGAAAAGAAAAACTTTATCCGTTCGTCCGGCTCAGCGAAAAGCTTAAACCTATTTAGCCTCCTGATCTGCTTGCGAATTAGGAGCGTGCAAAACGAACAAACAGCTTCGGTCTGTCTGGCCGGAGCTCGGAGATCGAACCCAGAACCGTCCAAGCCCAATCGTACCCAGCGAATCTCTGGAGGAGAACAGACCTGGGCCGACCCATCCGTGAGGTTGGGTGATAACGTTCAAAATGAATTCTCGAGCGAATCGATGCGACGTCGGACTTCGTACGTAGTCCCCGGAGGGTCTCTCATTTTTTCCGGTGTCGATCCCCGGAATGATTTACGTTCCGGCATCCCGGAGTCTCGAGCCTCGGTGCCGAGTTGGCGGGCTCGGCGGATACTGGCGAGAGAGGTTCTCCTCGCCCCGGAGAGAGCTGCGCGAATCGAATGAAGCATGAGAAGGTCGCGAAGATTCGCATGTCGTGAGCGATAAGAGAGAGCCGGTTTTGCGGGACACCTCGGTAGAAAATGGTGCAATTCTTGCGACAAAACGAGAGGTTCCGCGTCACCGCATCTGCTCTGTGCTGCCGAGTACAAAACTTCACAATGCCACATCTGCCGAGAGTGCGACCGGGAGCGAGAGAAACGAGCGAAAAAAAAGAAGGAACCAGCGAGCTTTGTCGTTGTCGACATATTTAGACGTCTCTCCTGATCTTCGTTCGTACTCGCAGTCAGAGTCGTCGTCGTTGTCGTCGTCGTTTTCGTTGTATGTAGTATACTATATGTAGAAGCCGATCGCGCGCTCGGCCGGTCGATCGCTCGACTCCTCTATGCGTCCCAAGTTCAGTGAACAGTAACTCACTCCGTTGCTACTGCTAATCAAAAATGACAGCAGGACAATGCGCTCGTCACTGAACTCATGGATGCGGGCTCGATCGACGGCCGCTTTGCAAGTCGCTCGGCCAGCCAGCCAGCCTGCCTGCCGGTCTGTCTGTCGGTCGGTCCGTATCGAGCCAGTCAAGTGATTTCCCAGCCGAGGAAGGGCCCGGACAGGAAGTTCGAGAGAATAGGGTCTCCAAGAGGGGAAATAAGGAGAATTACGCATAGTGATCTTGTAGGACTGTCCGCGCGGAATGGAAGCGAGCCTCCCCGAACGAAGAAGCATCCATCCGTTCAGTGAACAGCATTCTCCTCCGAGAGGAATGCATTGTCCTCTGGTGACAACAACAACACTTAACTACATAATCCTCCTCACAGGTCAAATTTCTCGTCAGAGAGATCGAGCATATTCTGAGCTGCTGTCGCGGCTATTGTGGCTCGTTCTCCCAGATCTCGTCGTTGTCATCGTCGTCGTCGTTTTCTTACACAACGAAAAACGGAGCGCTCGAGAAAGGTGCAGAATGCATCGTTCAAGATATGCATCGTTTTGACAGACGCATCAAGCAACAGTCGGACGGCTGTACCGATGAACTTTCGGCTGGACACAGATATCTGAGCTTAGGCGGTCAGTTCGAGGAAAGCTGCGACCAAGTGTTTTTCTCTCGTCCATATCTACCGAGACGCAAGGGTCCGCAGTTGGCATCGCCGCGCCGTCGACAAGGACTGAGGAGTTGCCATCTATCAAAACAGCTTGATCAAATCTAGATCGGACTTCTGTCGTAAATCATGCACCATATCTTCCAGCGAGACATTACTGAGTGAGTGCGGAACGGCGCGGCGCCTCGAAACCTGCATCAGTCAACGACAAGATATTTTCCCGTCCCCGACCCGATTCCAAAAGCGGTGGGTATTGTCTGGAAGCGAGTTTTTGCGTCGTCGTTCGCGGATACGTACCCGTAAATGGCGTCTTTGTCGCGTTTGTGGACATCCGGCACAGAGCCCATGGCGGGAGACGCGTAGCCGGGAGCAGGAGACGCAATGCCTCCTACAGGCGCCGGCGAGTGTGCTCCCGCCATCAGACCCGATCCTCCTCGTGGGTCTCCGTAGTCCACGCATCCTGCAGCGTAATGCGAAGGGATGGAATCCTCATACTGCAAGGGAAAGGATTAAAGAATATTAGTGTCTCATTCTCGCATGAAATCGTCGTCGTCGAACGCTGCCACCTATCCGAAAGTTCCTTCCACGCCGAAACTCAGTCAGTCCCGATAGCGTGGCATCTGCTCCCAACTGGAAGGATCTGCGTGCCCGCGCATCAGTAAACTCGGTGCCGCGACAAAAGAACGAAGGTCGAGTCGGGCGAGCGTCTAGTCCGGTAGCTTCGACGACGGGCTGCCGAGCCAAAACGGGGTTTACGTCAATCGCGCTTCAATTCAATTCGATGGGTTCTATGAAGCCTATTAACATTCCCTCGCATTCGAGCGTTCGCTTTTAAGGGGAAGTTACTCGGACGGTCGTTTTTGCTTGAATTTCTTTTTTCTTCCTCGATTCCTTCCTCGGCTCTAGACTGCAGCTGAAGAAGAAAATGATGTGGGCTCGTTGGTCTGAAAGAGTCTGTCTGACTGACCGTCCGAACGTCTTCTCATCCGCCTGTGAATCTCGTCGTTCCCGCGTTCGATGCTTGCTTTCGAAGCGACCAGGCAACTGGCATCTGTCCGTGGATCCGTCTGATTGACGTTTCGACTACGTCAGACTCTCCCGCAGCGCAACATTTTGGATTCTTTCGTTTTGGTACGGGGTCCGTCGACGATCAGCAACTGTTGCATGGTGTATCGTTCCGCCGCGAAATACTCGCAGCGAGGAGCATGTATTTTGCTTTTTCTTTCTTCTTCTTCTTCTGTTAAATTCCCCACCGTTTCCCACACCGACTCGTCAGCGACGTATTGGCGGATAACGCATAACCACGAAACCGACGACAGGACGGCCGAGCGGGCGGTCGATGTAGTCTTCTTCTTTTTCTGCCTAGAGCGATTTGGTTGCTCGACGAAGCCCCAATCAAGGTGAAGAAATCAATGAGTTAAACGTAACTACCGCCATTCAGATCGAAAGATACAAGCCGTCGTCTGGCCGGGGTCTGGGTTCTGGGAGAGCTGATAAGCGACCAGATCGGCGGACCAGATAAATTGCTCGTCTATTCTCTGGTGGCGCTTCTTCATTTCGGCCGCGATTCGATTAAATATTCACAATCCACGACGCGAGAGAAGCGATTAATCTCCGTCGCGATCTGCTAAACTGTTGCAAAACATCGTGATGTACGATCTCCGACAAGAATTCACGCAGACCGGAAAATTCGAGCCGTCAAGACATGGGAGGAGTCTATCGATTCTCTGTCGGAAGAATCTAGTTTACATCTTCACATGATGATTCGTTTCGTCAATTCCTAGAGCTCGGATAATTCCCGCCCTCAGTCGCTACGTCGGCACGGAGTCCGAAATTTGACAAATTCCTCAATAGACAGAAACTCCTCTCGTTCTATCTCGTATTGAGACGCTGCGCGGGAGCGCGAGAAGAAGAACGATCGCCTCTTGAAATGGCACCAATGAGATTTCCCTCCCGCGTGTTTATGCCTCTGAAATTGGATACGAACACATAGACAGACGAACAGATAGACGAACCAACAGACATATACGAGCACGTATCTTTACAACAACGGGAAAAGACCACAATAACACTGTCCAACTTCTCTAAAGATTATGTCAGCCGCTAAGATTTATGACCGCTCGATAACCAGCGCCACACATCAGGTGCAAAAGGTCAACTAGGAGGACATCCCCGCTCAAACGTTTTAAAATCGCGTAAAATCAGCTTCCAGCTTGAGAGGCGGCCGTCTGCGTGGATTTTGCCCATTCCCTCACTTGAGATCCGGCTCCTTTCAACCGCTGTCTCCAGTGGCCATTTGTGGGCGAGCTTCTTCAAAGGAATAAGAGGTCCCTCGCGGAAAAATAGCGCCGAGGGAGCCTCTTCAATAGTTATGATTGTTCCTTCGGAGGACGGAGGATTAGGATGGTTCGAGCTTCCGAGCGAAGGGGAGTCGCTCCTAGATAATAACTGGAAAAGTCTGCTTATCTCAACGTACTTTTATCGGTTCACCGACTTCGTCGAGGGCGAGTGGGAATCGCATCAGTATATCCATTGAAACTTATATTCTTCGTTTGAAAGCTTGCGCCTAGGTGTCGGTCACGGTGCCGGTATATTCCCGATACACCGGAGTTCCCCTCTCAACAAATGTCCTTTGAAAATCCTAGCGGTACACGGGGCAGTCAGTTCCTTCACAAATCCACAGTCACTTCCACTAGGTGTTGCGAAATTCGAACGACGATTTTTCCACCGATTTTTGCGCGGAACGACACCGAAATTTATCTGGTCGAGCACGACCGAATTCGGCACACCGGGGAATACAGAGAACACATATCAATCATTTGGGAACCACTCGGTAGGCGAATCCATCGAGTTCACTGACAGTCCCCGAGGAGAACGATCATGGACCTCTCGCAGAGAATCTTTATTCTTCTCCCAGTCCGTTCCCGCAGCGGTACAACAAGCGCGAAAAAAACGTCGGCGCACTCGTCAGCGATGACATCAAGAGCACATCGTGGACCGAGAGCGGGAAAAATTCAAAGCGATCGCACAGCTGTAACCGCAGGGTGGATGTGGAGGATCGCTGGCGCAGGAAGTCTGTCTATCGGTGTGCAACACACAACACAGCACAGCACAGTGGCACTATCCTCGTCAAAGTGAGCTTCCACATCAATCACTCGCGTCATGCATCATCCACGGCCGAACCATGCGGCCGCTTGTGAGAGGTACCCGAACACCCTCTCTCGTTCGTTGGTCGTTCAGGGAAGGAACCGTCCAACAAGCGATCGCTAGACTCTTCAGAGTCCTACGAGAAGTTAGCCACAAACGCCACTTTTTCGAGTCTACGTTACTATTCAATCGAACCCAAACCCGCTCGTAGGCGATGGTGCTGCAGTCGAACCGCATGCCCCCAACTCTCCGCTCGTCGACCCCTGGGTCGAAGGTAGATTGCTCTTGCAGGCTCAGAACCCACTGCCGAAAGCGGCGGCGGCGGTGTTCGAGACGCAACACTGCTGATGACGAATGGACGACTCTCCCCGCGTCGGGCTTGCATCAAAGAAAATATCTTTTAGCTCACGTAAGATAATGAATTTCGCTCGAATCACCTGACGAGCATCCGAGTATACACTCTGCACATGAAAAACTCCGGTCTGCTCCGAAACGCCGCGTGGGCTCGATCAATTCCGAGGAAAATCTAGAGACGAGGGTTTTTCCTTTTTTTTCTGACGGATTGTCGTCCGTTGACCCAATCATCCATCAATCGATCGCTTACTTTGTGTAGACACTCCGCCTTGGCCACCCAGTGATAATTGTCTCGTCGAACGAGAGCGACACCGATCTCCGTTGCATACGGATGACAACACGAAACGGCCGGCGGTCAACAGCGCTCATCAGGAGAGAATATTCTTATTTTTCCCCCCAAACGCCCTGACCTCGGGGCTTCCGAGCCCCCATTTACTGCCCGCGCTCTCGTCCCAAAACGACAAATGGCAGGATCTGGACTCAATGAACGAGCGGGAACGGTAGACTACAAACGTGGAGTATCCACCGAAAACTTGACGATCGGTCAAAGCAAACCGGAGCTTGCGGTTTTATTTTGAACCGGTGGACTCCCCGAAAGCGATGAGACAAATTCAGCGATCAAGCTCAGCTGAACATGCCCCCCACCCCTCATCTTCTCGTCCCGCCATCTCTCATTCCGTGAGATGAGCCAAAATAATGCGCCGAGAGCGAGTCCAGAGGGGCGGGAAGTAAAAGCCACGTCAGGTCAGAAGAGTAGGTGTCGACCGATAACAAAGCATGCCCTGCGCTCGGATGCGCCAGTGCGTTCGATGGCTGTGTCTTCAGAGAAGGTGTTCGATTGTTGAATAAAATCGACCTCGATTCGATATGTGTTGCGGTGCCCCTGCAGAAGTCCTCTTTGCGGCGAAGACGGCGAGTCGCCTCGCTTTGTTGTTGAATCAGAAGCTGGGACGAAGACGACGACGATTTTCTCTCTGAGCAGTAGGGCAGACGGCGGAGCGTCGTCGAAGCCATCGAGGAAGACGTTCGTTCTTTCTGAATATTTTCCCAAGACACAAGTTTTCCACAACAAATTCTAACCACCATCTGGTTTCATTGCAGCGAGTTCTCGCGCTTTGGCTCACTTCCGGAGCGATTCGAGCGGCGTGATCGATCAGCTGATGTTCGCAGGCTCGAGTCGATCAAACCGGTAGCCTCGATCTCGATCCCGGATCGAGATGCGCGAATGCATGCCTCCCGTGAGGCAATTTGGAGCAGAGCTTCCGTGTTTCCGCCCTCGATTGAATCTAATCAGAAGGATGAGAGAAAAAAACGACGAGCAGCGTAACTTCTGAGAATCGATCAGAGTTCGTTTTGGATGGTGAAATATGTTCCAGTAAAACGTTTCGAGCGAAGAGAAGAGCCACCGAAGTAGCGAACCGCTCGCGGTGTGACAGAAGAAAGCACACACCCGGTTCCCGGTGCCTGAGAAAATTCGTCCGCTCAAAGCGTTTCCTCAGAAATTTCTTGCGTCCTCGAGATCGAGCGGAGTCGGCGCTCTCCGATCACATGAGATTAAGGCTCCGATCTCCCACACGCACTCGCCGTCATCCCTCTCACAGGTGCACTCCCGGAAGCGTGAACAGATCTCAGAATCGACTCTGCCGATTAGAGATGCTCGAGAGAACGAATATGAGCTGGCGATCCATTCATGGGCTGACCCACCAGGCCGTCTCTCGACGCGGACCAAGATCGTGTTAGGTCGCCAAGAATCGCAAACGACTAAACGGATTAGTGACTTCTCTCCGGGACTGCACGGGAGTTCCTTGAAGTTCCGTCGCTTTTTTTCCACCTAACTCGAGTGAGAACCCTCTCCACTCGCGCTTGACGACGCGCGACGGTCGGTGTTTTCAGATTGACATGTTTACACAGAGACGCAAGAAATCGGAATGGAGCGGCTTTTCTCAACCTTCCCGCGAGTCGGTGGGTGCATGCAGGAATCGCTTCGATATCCTCCCGCGTCTCCAAACCGTTAGTCGGGTCGAGATGAACACTGAATGAAATCCGAGATTTCGACAGCCCACTGCCGGAGGAGTCACAGGCTCGTCGCCTGTGCTCTAATTGCGGTCGAGCATCGATGTGTGTGCCACCGAGTTGACGGGCGATTCGTTCGCCTCAGCTGCGAACACAATTTCCAATCGAGCTGCACGCCGCTCCGGTCTCGAACAGCGACGAAACAAACATCGGGCCGAATCTCTAAATCAAAGCCAAGCAGAAAGAAATAAAATGCCACCCACGTCGACTTTTCCCGGAGCTTCGTTCCTTCGGTTCTGGTTCGATAACGAATCGATATGACGAAAATAGGAATTCGGAAGACTCTCTCTGACTATTCTCGAGGTATACCGGCTCAGGCGAAGGTTTGACCTTGGCAAAAACTGTGGTCTCTTCTACCAAACGGAGGCTCGAATTAAGAGTGAGCAGTTCTGCCGGTGAGCCGATCGGCAGGCCAAGCTCGCGGGCGAACATAAGCGGCATCTAAGGGTGGTGGCGATCGTGCCCGTTGTCAGGGATCCGAGAGAACGGAGCTGTGAGCGAGCGAACGGAGCGACCGACCAACCAGCGAATGAACGAGGCGAGCTGGATTGCTGGCTGGTTGGGGTAGCGCCTCGGAGAGGCCCAGGCCTGCTCGCTGGCTGGCTGCCTGCCTAGCTCATATTCAAAGCACTAGATGACGACGACGACCGACGGACCGACCAACCAACCAACCAGCTAGCAGTCGTGCCGAGGTGGATCTATCTCAAAAACGACTGAAGCAACTTCGAAACAAGCGAACGCAACTAAGCAAGCTGGGCGTCCAGCCTGACTGCCACTCGGTCAGCGAAAGAGCGAGCGAGCGACTCACTCAGTCAGTCAGAGAGGAAAAGAGCTAAAGAGCTAAACAACTCACCAAGCGAGCAGTCAAACATCTCACTGGGACTGGCATCTATAATTATAGCCTGCCTAAAGACTCGTGCTTGAATTCTGCATATTTAGTGATTCCTCGCTGAAGAGCATTTGAAGAGCTCTTCCGAGCAACGACCCGGTGCTTGAGAGATGCATGCCGAGAAAATAGAACTTATCGTATGTCCTCCTCAATTTTCAGTGCGAGGGATTCCTAAGCTAGAAATCGGTCTTCCAGTGGGTATTCGTCGAAATGTTTCCCTCTGCTCATTCCTACGGTCTGGACAGTGGCCAGGCATGGAGGAAGGTCTCGGTACCGGGTGACAGAACTGACGGGTCGAAGAGTTTGCGCACGTTTGGGTGGTGTCGGGTCGGAGACGTTTTTCCGCGTTTTTTTCCGTCCTCATCGCTCTTTTCTCTCGGCTCTTATCCGGTTGGCCAGCGCTCCCACGACCCCGACGCCACCGACCGAAGGCTCCTGGGCACAAGACCTCAATAGAGTGGCGGGCTCTTTTCCCTCTTCGGATAGGCACATGCTGCCTAGTATTGATGACAGAGATCGCGGGCCTTGTGTGGAGTTTTCTCGATTAGATACACGTACAATTTTCGCGCACTTGAGAAGAAGCCCGAAACAAGAATTCCACCGAACGTTTGAGGCAGGCACTTGAGAAGAGATAAGGGCTCGTCGTCACCTCTCGAGAGCAACACGATGACCTGCGATTATCTTACACCTTTCGTTGTGACATTTCAACGGGAGTCTCGAAGAGTTTTCCCACGTTGCGTTATCGTAGCATGGATCAGTAACAATACGAACGACCCTCCAAACCTTTACGCAATTCGGGTTCAATTTTGCGGTTTACCAGATTCCGCGCAATTTTAGGAATGTGCGGGAACGGGATGGGAACGCTAACCGCGCCTCACGGCATCGAGCGGTTCCAAGCTCGAGCTTAAATCAGCCTAATAGACACAAATTGGTCCGGAGAAGAAGACGAACCCGGCGTTTTGAGGTTCGCGCAATCGTTCGGGGGCGATTGCTTCCGTGAAGCTCGAGCGGACAACTTCGGTCTCGGAGTTGTTCCCGTTGTTGATCGATTAATTTATTCGTCGATTCAACGGTCGTTCGACGCTTGCGCTTTGCGATCCCCGACCACGGCTTTGCTCGATCGCTCGAACGCCGATCGTTCACCGGCTTTGATTCGTTGTTGATCTCTGATCCATGTCACCGAGTGGGTACGACCTCAGTGGCGACATACAATCGAATTGAAGCATTCTTCAGCCCAAATCCCCTCTTTGTTGGATTGACATCGGAATAATCTCCGAAAGCTTGACTGCAATTTTCTTA